GCAAGAAGTGACCAAGCCAGGCCTGAGACATCTTGTCATGCCAGATGGCAGGGAAGCTGGTGGGCTTACATCAGCTGGCAGGACTCAGTAACTAACCAGGGGTCAAAGGCCGAGTGATTTCTACGGCAACAAAAGGACCAACTACCACCACACCACACCGCAGGGCACGGTAGTGCCTTTAATCCCAGCACTTGAGAGGCGGACACGGATCTGCCCCCGGCAAACTATGTAGCTTCATGTTAAGATCTACTACATGTAAGTGTATGAAAGCTATTTAATGTGTCCAATCTTAAATATGCATCAAATCCTTTACATTGTTCTTTTATACCTATGTGAAAAATTAAAAGATATTAATGGCAACTCGAGTGCCAATAAAAGAACACTTTCATAAAAAATCAAGCACAACCAATCAACAGCAACAACAAAAACAGTTTATAAATGAGAGAATGAAGCATTCCTTCTGTCTTTTATTTATCACAGTCTCCTCCTCCCCAGTGGTGGGATTATGGGTGTGCACCTAAAAACTCACCTATTATTACAATTACTTATTATTAGTAAACATATTAATGTGTGTGTGTGGGGCATGCGTGTGAGGTCAGAGGACAATTCTGTGTCTCCTTCCTCCCTTGGGTGGGTCCCACGGATTGAACTCAGGTCACTGGACTCACGAATCAACTGCCTTAACCACTGAGCCATCTCGCCTGTCCCATCTCCTGCCTTTCCAAGCAAGTCGTGTCTCACAGAAGTGATGAGTGAGCCCTGAAGAAGGAACATTTGCTTCCACAGCCTCAGATGAATTGAGCACAAACTGCTCCTGCCACAGAAAAGAAGCTCCAGCCCCTCAGCTGAGGTCCTCTGGGAGCACACCCCACCCGTGTTTAAAAGCCCCACCCACTACAGTCAACTTAAAGAAATGTAGGGGCCAGAAGGGAAAGGGAAGCAACGTTGGAGGCGGGGGTGAATCAGCAGACCGCACACTGTAGGAACCCTGCAGGATAAACCATCTGGTTTCCTTAGCAAATAAAGTACAAGGGAAGGGGGGAAAAGAAGAAGAAATAGAGGGAACTAGAGACTAAAATAGGCACAGAGGACTTTGCCAACCCTGTGTGCTGACTGGTTTGTATTCCTGTTTTCTTAAACCTATAGAATGCGTATGGCATTGTGGGAGCTGGAGGATGGCTGCGGTCATGAAGTGCTTGCTTTGCAAGCGTGAGGACTTGCGCTCAACCTCCAGAACCCACATAAGGAGCCAGGTGTAAACCCTGCATGCTTTTCTCGGTGTTTCCTAAGATGTTTGGTGAGGGACACACCTAACCAAAATGTGCAACAGGCGGTGGGTGGGTCTTGACGGCAAAACTCAGAAAACAGCTGTATAATAAAGGACTAATATGCTACAATTATTTCGTCCTCATATTCTTAGGTCAGAATGGATATATTATTAAGCATGGCGTGTAATGCCCTAAATTTAGCTATAAGCTCCTCCTGCCCAAGAATTAGGTAACTTCGTGGAATGCTGGGAGTTGTAGTTCTTGGAAAAAAATAACAAAGCCTCATGGGAAAGTATGGTGGCCTATAGGTCTCCCGGCCATTCAGCTGGGAAATGCCAGGAAATGGCCCTGACCAAAGTCCATCGCTTGGTCAGTATTTAATTTTTAATAAAGCTTGCTTCAAATTTGGCCCCAAATGGTGGAATTAGGTTTTTTCTCCAGTGAATTTCAAGACTAACAGTTGTTATTCATTGTATATAAAGTTATGTAACATAACTCTTTAACCATTAAAGTTAGATGCAGTCATCGGAGAAAAAAAGACCCAGGCATGGTGTGTGTACGTACAACCCCAGCTCTTGGCAGGTGGAGATAGGTGAATCCCTGGGGCTCACTGACCAGACAGTGTGAATTCCATGCCAAGTGAGAGACCCTGCCTCAAAAGATGAGGTAGATGGTGGCTGAGGAAAGCCACCTCTGTTTTGGAGGTTAGTCTAGCACTATGTATTCAAATGCTAAATTACTGCCTCCCAAGATTGCAGCCCAGACGAGCACATTTTCACATACACCAAGTGATGTTGTGTAAATTTGCTCGCCAAGATTCTCTGGCTGGTTAAATAGAGTTGCTGAGACCCTATAGCTGGGAAGAAGAGAGGTAGGCGGAGCTTCGGTTTCCAGGCTTGGGGTCTGAGAGGGACCATGAGGTGGGTAGGAGGAAAGAGAGGAAGGAGAAGATGTAGCAGGAGGAGAAGCTGGGGAAGGAGGTCACAGTGGGGCAGCATGGACCATGAGCTTGTGGCCATGAGAGCTGGCCTGATGGAACAAAAGCAGCATAGGCAGGAACAATTATGGCAAGCAGCTTGGGGTACAGGGCTGGAAAACCTTGTACAAACCAGCTTAGAGAATTGATATCTGCCCAGTTCTTGTATCTCAAAGCTTTTATAAATCCAAAAGGTGTCTCTCTCTCTCTCTCTTTGGAACTAAAGGGTCTAAAGTGAGGTAGAAAACCCAAACACATATTTAGGAACAGAAGGGGGCATAGCAATCTCCCTGAAAATTAATTCTTGCTATACCTCTGGCCTCCTCATATTTACCCATGCATACACACACACACACACACACACGACCCAAGAATGGCCACTCCATGCATTAGACCCACACTGGACTTTGTCCTGTTGTGACGTACTGTCCTTTATTCCCCGGGAATTTCTACCTCCAGGTACACTGCCTGTCATTTAGAGAAATGAGCAGACACAATCATGGCAACAGACGGAGACCAGAAGCAACGCCAATGCACCTGAGGCTCCTCATGACCTCTGGCCCAGGTCAGTTTCCAGGCTGGGAAGGCCTTCACATCTGAGCTCCATTCTAACTTGCTAGACACCCTTGTGCCTTAATACATTCAGGACTCTATGCCTGGACCATCCCTCATGGGGACCCTCACCTGTGGAATCCCTGTCCTTTAGAATGCCAGGAAATGCCGGGAGTGTCTCACTGGGTGGTCAGAAGTTAAGACTGAGATGTGCGGACCTGTGTGCACTGGGGCCACTCAACTCCTCAGAGAAAGAAGTTCAGGGGAAAACAGAGGTTCTGTCTGTCTGTCTGTCTGTCTGTCTCTCTCTCTCTGTGTTGTAGAGAACTGTTCCCCGAGAAAAACAATGAAGACCCACTTGAGCATCAGCCATCCTCCCAGCCTCCTATATGCAGTTCAGCCCTGACGGCATGAGGCCTTGGAGTTTTTTTTTTTTTTTTTTTTTTTTGGGGGGGGGGATTATAGTATACAGATTGAGGAGAGTTAACTTGGGAGGAGGGTCCACCAATGCAGCCTCAGGGAAGCCGTCATTCATACTATAAGAAGACCTTCCAGTGCAGCTGCTTCAGCGCACTCATGGCCCTACCAATAACCCTTCACTTGTGCTCTGTAAGAAAGCCTAATAAACTCATCGGTTGAGGGCTGAAGAGATGGGTCAGTGGTTAAGAGCACTTGCCTTTCCTGTAGAGGTTCAGTTCCCATCACCCCCATGGAGGCTCACGACTACTCATAACTCCAGATCCTTTCCTGGCCCCTGCACGCACAATGGGGCAGAGACAGACAGACAAAACATCCATATACATAAATAAAACTGAATCTAAAATAAATAAACTCAATGACTTTGGTCTTAGTTACTTTTCTATTGCTATGATAAGATACCATGACCAAGGCAACTTAAAGGAGGAGTTTATTTGGGGCTAACAGTTTCGGAGGGCTAAAGTCCATGACCATCATTGTGGGAGAATGGAAGCAGGTAGACATGGTGCTGGAGCAGGAGCTGAGAGCTCACATCTTGAGACATTACCATGAGGCAGAAAAAAAAATTTTTTTTCACTGGGGATGGTATGGGCTTTTGACAACTCGAAGCCCACCGGTGACATGTCCTCCAACAAGGCCATACCTCCTCATCCTTCCCAAATAATTCCAGCAACTGGAGATGAAGTATTCATATACATGAGTTTATGAAGGTACGGTGCCTTGAATAAGAATGGTTCCATGGGCTTATATATTTGAATGCTTAGTCACCAGGAAGTGGCATTATTTGAAAGGATTAGGAGAGTTAGGAGGTGTGGCCTTGTTGGAGAGGTGTGTCACTAGGAGTGGGCTTTGAGGTTTTAAAAGCCTCTGCTAAGCCCAGACTCTCTTCCTCTCTCTCTCTCTCTCTCTCTCTCTCTCTCTCTCTCTCCCCCTCTGCTATTGCTCCAGCACCTGCCTGCATGCTCCCATGCTTCCTGCCATGTTGATAATGGACTATATCTCTGAAACTGTAAGCAAACCCACATTTAAATGTTTTCTCTTACAATAGTTGTCTTGATCATGGTGTCTCTTCACAGCAAGACAACGGGGACTAAGACAGAGGACTATTCTCATCCAATCCTCCACAATTCGCCAGGGTGAATTTTGGTGGAGCCTACTTTGGTTTGTCACTGAGATCTGTCTCTCCCAGGAAGGGGATTCTTGAAACACACCTAGAGATTGCCCAGTTCCCCATACCCTGCTGATTGGCATGATAGACATAGTTAGAGCTTGCTGAGGGCTCCTGTGCTTCTGGACCCTTGATTGTTGGGAATCACCGATCGTCCCATCTTACAGATGCGTGGAATGAGACACGGGAAGATTACAGCCCTGAGCATGCACACAGCGAACAGGAAGTCTAGTTTACACAATAGGACTGTGAGCTGGTGGCATGCTGACCTCCTAAGAAGCAGCCGTCCTCCATCCTGGGAGAGGCTGGGATCAGTGGAGATGGCAGACACCTTGGCTACAGTGTGAGGACAGTAAACACCAAAGAGGCTCTGGGAGGAAACGGAGCAACCTAAAAGCCTGTCTGGTGCCAGCTATGCAGGGCCACCCTGGCCAGCATGGCAGGAGAGCAGCTGACCTTCACTGCAGAAGCGTCCTTTCCTTCCTCCCTCATGCCCTCTCCCTCCTTGAATCATAGCAGCCACCCTAGTCCTGACTGTTGCTCAATCCAGGAGCACGGTTCCTGTGGGCTGAGCCTGACCTGCTTGGTCATCTCTTTTCTGCGCTTCAAGGGAAAGGCGAGATCGTGCACAAGGGACACCCCGGACCCCACCGGCGTCTGTCCCCTCCGGCTGGCTGAGGAAGGGTGCCATGGAACCTCTCCACCTGTTTCTCCTGCTGCTGGTCACAGGTGGGACCCTCTCTCTGCAATGCTTTCTTTTCTTCATCTTTCTTGAGCAGGTGTCTGGGCGCGGTGCAGATGGCGTGGAGGGGAGCTGTGAAGGAGGCTGAAGTCCTGGCGTGCTCAGGTGTCCTGCTTGGCTTTGCTTTCCTCCCCACTGGCCCATGTTCTTCACACCACCCTCCGCAGGATTAACCCCCCAAGTGTAGGAAGGTTTAAAAGGCTGCTGGACTTGGTCATTGAAGGAGCTGTGAGGGTGGCACTAGCTGCGAGGTAGGGGTCCTGTGGAAGCACTGCTAAGAGCCCTTAAACACTAAAGAAGCCCTTAAGCATAAGTGGAGAGGCAGAATGGGAGAGAAGGAAGAAAAGAGGATTTGGGCTGGAATTTGCATCCTCCTGGAGCCCCACCTATATTCAACCTCGGCACTAGGGGGAAGGTAAGGATGCTGAAGGCTCTATCACTGTACCCTCACTTGTGGTGGACCGCCTCCTCCACTGTGGTCTGGCTGCCTTCTGTTCCTGAATAGTAATGGGCAAACCCAGGTAAGAGAAGAGGCTGCCCTCTGTTTTGCCCCCACAGCATCTCAGCTGGAAGTGGAAGGAGAGGTAGGACGCCTTAACCTGCCTCCAGGCAGAGGGATGGAGGGGCTGATGTGTGGAAAGAACACACTTGGGGTCTTTAGCTCCTAGAGGCAAGCCACCAGCTCCCTGATCCCACTTTTCATGTTCCCATCTCAGTAACGGCTGAAGGCAGGCTGCAAGAGGCAGAAAGTTTGGGTGAGCCCTTGTGCCCCTGCCCTGGCTACATCATGGTGGGTGCTTCAATGCCCTCTCCTCTACCCCATGAGGGTGCCCAAAATAGCAGTCTCATGTCTCCCCCCAAAATAGCTCTGAGACAAGTCCTTCCTAAAAGAGGAAGAGAGCCGAAGAAATAGGGAAGCTGGGAGTTAAAAGTTAGGAAGGGAGAGCCATCCAGTGTGGCTGACTGAAGAGTAGGCAGCGAGGCAGGGGCAGGAAGGGGGCCATCCCGACTCTCAAGGAACCAGCCTGAGCTCCGAGAACCCCAATAACCTTGCTCTCCTGAGATGAAGAAAGGAAAATAGACATCTTGGTTCCACATGACAGGAGGGAAGATATTTAAACTAGAGCCCAGAGGGATTTCAAGAACAAGATATGGCTTACTCAGTACGGTGCTTGCCTTGGAAGCATGAGGACCTATGTTTGGGCCCACAAAACTCGTGAGAAAAGCCAGGTACAGTGGCATGTGCCTGTCACCCAAGAATGGAGAAGAGACAGAGAGATCCCTAGAAGCTCACAGGGTTGGCTTGTCTATGTCATGAATTTCTGCCCTGTATTAGTCATTGTTTTGTTGCTGTGACAAAACATCCCACAAAAGGAACTCAGCAAAGGGTCCATTTTGTCTTGTAGTGTCAGAGGACACAATCCATCCTGGAGGGAAGATGTGGTGGCAGAAGGCAACTGTTACATTTAATGCTTAGTCAGGAAGCTGAGAGACGAACCTCGTTCTCTTTGAGTTGTAGCTGGGGACTTCGGCCCATGGCATGTTGCTGTTCATTTTCAGGGTGGGTCTTCATATACCAATTAACTGAATCCAGATACTCTCTCACTGATATTCCCACTGGCTCACCTGATCTAGAAAATCCCTCACAGGTGAGCTCAGGAGCTTGGCCCCCAGATGATTCTAGAGCCTGTCAAGTTGACAATCAACATTAACGATCTTGCACGCTGGTGAGCTACCCCGTTTCAAACAAAGGGCTTGAAGGAGCCCGAGGACCAAGCTTATCCCGAAGACCAGGTGTACACTGTGCTCCTTGCATCCCGGGAGCCGATTTCAAAGGTTTCCTGGAAGCACAGTAAGAAAATCAGATTCCTGGTTCCCAGATGGCTGGGCAGTAGTGGCACTCACCTTTAATCTCAGCACTTGAAGCAGAGGCAGAGGGATGCCTCTGAGTTCCAGGGCATGCCTGATCTACAGAGCAAGTTTCCGGACAGCCAGAGCTACATAGAAAAACCTTGTCTTTGGGTAGAGGGAGGCCTAGTTCCCAGATGTGCCACCTTCCCCCTAAGCTCTTTAGGGGCGGCTCCTCATCTGTTTGGTTTGCTGCTTCTGGTAGATGCTCAGTGGATCTTTGGCAGGCTCACAAAAGTGACAAATGGCTGTTTCCCCTGCAGAGTTGTCCCAAGCCCTCAACACCACGGTGCTGCAGGCTGTGGCCGGCCAGTCCCTACGCGTGTCATGTACTTATGACACCTTTAAGCACTGGGGGCGACGTAAGGCCTGGTGTCGCCAGCTGCATGAGGAGGGCCCGTGCCAGCGCGTGGTGAGCACACACAGTGTGTGGGTGCTGGCCTTCCTGAGGGTACGGAACGGGAGCACGGTTATCACAGATGACACCCTTGCTGGGACCCTCACCATCACTCTGCGGAACCTCCAAGCCAGTGACACGGGGCTCTACCAGTGCCAGAGCCTCCGAGGCGGAGAGGCTGATGTCCTCCGGAAGGTCCTGGTGGAGGTGCTGGCAGGTGAGCACAGTGGCTGGGTGAACCTTCGGCTCGTCCTTGGGTTAGGTCTCATTGTTGTGTGACCTTTCCTGAGAGAAATAAGCAAATGTCTGCGCCGGATTAGCCACCACTGATAGATCTAAGAAATTATTCCATCCAGGGCTAGCTTAGTGAACTAGTGAGTTTACTGGGGATACTTGTGGGACTGTGGGCGAGGCAACTCTAAAGCAGATGCATCACCAAAACATCCTTCCCAGAGTGGATGAGTCATAAAAGAACAGCAACTCTGGGGCTCCCACATCCCTGGTGCTCCCCTCATCCCTGGTGCTCCCCTCATCCCTGGTGCAACCCACATCCTTGGTGCTCCCCTCATCCTTGTTGCTCCCCTCATCCCTGGTGCAACCCACATCCCTGGTGCTCCCCACATCTCTGGAGCTCCCTGAACAACTTGTAGGCCCCAGTTAGAGCCTCCTCTCCCCAGCAACTGTAATGGCTTATATAACCTTGTGGTGTGTATATAAATCTTGTAAGTTTCATGAGGTTCCTGAGCCTTATGTTTTGTTTGTTTGTTTGTCTCTTATGTCCTGAGTTATATGGCCCTCTCTCCTTCCTCCATGAGCATATGTTTCAGTCCAGAGGAAACAGGCTTTACAACACTCAAGTTCAAGCATATATGTGCAAGGCTATCTTTTTGCCCTTAGGAAACTGGATTTCATGGATAGCTGCTTAGAATACTCACTGGACAAAGCCGCTAAAATCCAGAATGCATTCTTCATGCCAGGCTATGCTCCCCAGGACAGAGCTGTGGTCACCTGAAGAAAGGGCATCTTTCTTTAAGTTTATATCAAGACATTTAGTTAGTCCCAGCCTTTTTTTTTGAAGCAGTTAATTCAGTCGGCAATCCATTAGCATGACCACTGTGTGTGGCTCTTAAAGAGAGCAGATCAGCTCATCCACTCACTCAATAAGACAGTTCGGTGCAGAAAAACACCTCTTGTTGTGCTGGCCTCCATTTCGTCATCTTTCCAAAAAGATCATGCCTTTGCCTAACATACACAGAAAAACCTACACACCCCAGAAAAACAGGTTTGAAGAGAAATAATGTTATCTGTTTGCTGCTCTGAACTGAGTTGGGTCCCTGTCCTCTTAAAAGGGGGTCCAGCCTTCTGCCTAACCTCTGTAGGCAGAGGCCTACAGGAGAGCTGCTGCCAGGATCTGGGTCCCTGCCCGCACTGTGGCCTCTGTGGTGGAACTGGTCTAGCCTCAGTATTCATCTGAGGTGAAGAGACTCAATAGCTCTTCAATAATCCACACGTCCACCACTCTCCTGCAGAGGGGTTCAAGAGACATGAGCTTCCTCTCAGGGTCTAGTAGAGTAGCAATGACCCAGCCCTGTACCCCAGAGTTTGCATAACATTTTCATATGGTTTGGTGAGAGGTGGGAGAGGTAGAGTTTTGGTGTGTTTTGAGACGAGCTAACCCAGAACTATCTACCCTCTTGTCTCGGTACCTTAGCACTGGGGTCATAAGCTGTGTCACCATGCCTGGCTTGCAGAAGATTTTCAGGCCAATATTCACTCATAAGCCTGGGTGACAGGATGACAGTTGCTGGCCCTTGGCTCCGGTGGGGTACTTAGTACTCAGCTGAGGTTGAGTACTTAGTGGCCACCTTGCCACTAAGGAGGTGCTCCCCGTAGGCCCTTTTATTTATGAGATAGGGTTTTATGTGGCCCAAGCTGTCCTCAAATTCACTCTCTAGAAGAGGGTGATCTTGACCTTCTGATCCTCCTGCCTTTTCCCAGTGCTGGGTTCCCAGTGCTTATGTTGTGCTGGGGCTCAAACCTAGGGGTTTGTGCATACTATGCAAGCACTCTATCAACTGAGCCATATGCCCAGCCCCCCAATGCCCCCTCTTTACAGGCTAGAGAACTGGCTCAAAGCCAACGACAAGATTTGCACAGGCCCGGCTTCACCCCCACATTCAGGGATCCCCTGGCAGTGGCCTAAATGAATAGAGGGATGTGACCTCCTGGCTTGTCTCTCACAGACCCTTTAGATGACCAAGATGCTGGAGATCTCTGGGTCCCTGAGGAAGCGGGGAGTTTTGAGGGGGTCCAAGTGGAACACAGTACTTCCAGGTACAGTAGTGGTCTCTCCTCAGACTCCTGGCCATGACTGCGGATGGAGGTCCCAGGGCAAACAGACCAGACAAAGAGGGCCCAGATACTGTCTTGTCTGAGTACCCTTTCCACTCGCTACCATATTGATGTTTTGGGGCTAGAAATTAAGAAATTGGAGTCCTTTGTAACAGTTCACAGAAGTGCCACTCCAAGATTCTAAAAGGGCAGCCCCCGCAATTCAGCAATAAGTCTGAATATTTTTGCTTAAAACTGGGGGCGCTGGGTCCCTGCTTTTTTGGGGGGGGATCCGGAATCTATTCTGGATGGTCTGTTCCTATTTACTAATGTAGAAATGTGCTGTGCAACCCCTGAGCACGTGTGAGGTGTGTGTCTGTTCCCCACATTCTGTCCTACAAGGAACAGCTCAGCAGAGAAATGGACTGTGTTTTGCGCATAAAGTACATCCTAAAACTGACTGCTGGTCCCCCTGAGCCCCATGAAGTTCCTTCCCAGGCCCTAGGAATTCCCAGCTTCCCTCTATTCCTTTTCCACGGATCCTGTAGATCACCTCTGGCCTACCATCTTCTTCCTCTTTCCAAGGAGCCAGTCAGGAGAGATCTCCTTCCCACCTACTTCCCTTCTTCTCCTCCTGGCTTGTATCCTCTTCAGCAAGCTTCTTACAGCCAGCATTCTCTGGGCTGTGGCCAGGAGAAGACAGAAGTTGCAGACACCTGTGGCCAGTGAGCTGGACTGTGGCCATGCTGCTGGGCACCAGCTTCAGATCTTGACTGGTGAGTGGGGCAAGCCGGAGAGGGGAAGGAGGCATGTTAAGCACCAACAGGGAAGGGATGGGAGGGACTGAACCATATATGTTGCAGGACCGAGAGCTACGTGAGAGAGCTCCAAGTGGGAGGAGAAGCCCAGCTGAAGTCCACCCGGGAGCCATCCCAGCTTTCACACTCTCCCCTCCTTCTCACCAAGACTTCTGTTTCTGCTACTTTTGCTTCAGAGGCCAACTCTGCCTAAAGCCCACATTTCCTGGAAGCAGGAATACTGGTGTGTACATATGTGTTGAGTAGGGACGAGAGCTAGGTGGTCACTATCTAGCTCCAGATGGCCAACTTCTGCACTTTGAACATTAAACACTCTCACATACCCATTTTTTTCTAGATGGTTCTGTGCCTCATAAAGCATAGTCTCAGTGATGGGACTAATGGTTTTATGCATGCTAGGCATGAGCTTACCACTGAGATAATTCTAGAAGCCCCTGCCTAGGGAATGGTGTTGCCCACAGTGGGCTGGGTCTTCCCACATCAATCAGCTTGTAATCTAGACAACCCCCTTAGACATGCCCGCAGGCCAACTTCATCTAGACAACCCCTCTTTGAGACTTTGGTGATTCTGGATTGTGCAAGATGACAATTAAAACTAACCACTACAAGTCCCATGTCTTCCATCTCATAGGCTCCAATCAGGTCAATGTTTTCATCCTTGATTCCCTTCTCTAAATTTGATCATCAAGTCCTTTTGTGGGAAAGCTGGTCATCTCGTATTCCTCATCTTATTTTTTTTACTAGCTACCCTTGGGCGACAGTCACTCCCTTCCCAGCCCCAGACTTCTGCCACTCAGGGCCATCCAACCACTGAGTCATCATCCTTTCACCTCCCACAGCTGGGCTTTCATCTGCTACTTCCCCTCTGGAAAAACAACAAAGATCGAATCCCAGTATCTAAGCTGCAAACAGTTTACATCCCTAGATGTACTGAGAGGACATGGAGGCTCAGAGAAGGAGAGGGGCTTATTATTCACTGTCTCTACGAGAGCCTGGAAATCCAAGTTCCCCCTCAAATTCATGGCACCCCTTTCGCTAGCTCCATCCTGCTAGTGTAGTTGTGAAAAAGTGCATTTCACCAGGTTGTTTTGAACGTGGTCTGAGCCTGAGCTACAGCACAGACTCTGCCCTTGGAGCTCTTGTTCTCTAGGGAGAGCAGCTGGTGGGATGGCAATAAACACAACAAAGGGAGTTATGTCCAAAGGCAAAAGAGTGTCGAGGAAGATGTAATAATGAAGCCGAGATGGAAAGTGCCATTTTGAGTAGGGCGGTCAAAGGTGACACCTGAAAGAGATAAGGAAATACATGAGGGCACTATGAGCAGGAAGTTGAGAGCAAAGGGGGCTGTGAGGACCTTGTCAGCCTAACAGTTTCATTCCTGTTGTTGAGATGAAACACGTTGGGTAAAAGCAACATAGGAAGAAAGAGGCTTGTGTAGCCTCAAGTAAACCCATCGATTTGGGGAAGTTGAGGCAAACTCAAACAAAGTTACATCATATCTTCCATTGAAAGTGGAGAGAGGCAAATGCATTCATTCTGCCTGCTTTCTTGTGCCCACACTCAGCTAGCTTTCTTCCCTTGTTCAGTTGGGAAACGGTGCTGTCCGAATTCAGGCTGAGTCTTCTCACTTCTGCTAACGGTCAAGACAATGCCCCCAGACATGCGCACAGGCCAACTTCCTCTAGACAATCCCTCTTTGGGACTCCTTTCCCAGATGATTCTAGGTGGTGTCAAGTCGACTGTTAACACAAAACACACACCTAACACCCTGGGCAAGAGTAAGGGAGCCTGGGGCAGAAAGTCCCTGATGGACCAGAATGAGGAGGGATCAAGCTAGCTTAATGGAGACTCAAGCTTCCTATTAGGCCCCAGATGTAGGCATCCACGAATCCCTGTGGCCACGGTGACATGTGCACGCTTTACCATCTAACATGAGCTTGGAATTATGGGAAACAACCCTCACGGTACGCATGCTCCAGCCTCTCTTCCACATGACCCTTCCTGCGTTCCAACCCTGCCTTGTCCACTCCCACTTGGGCTACTCCGCTAACCCTGGCCTGGAGCTCTGGGTCAGCCTGCTTTTCGGGTCTCTTTGATTGCCTCATTATGTCCCGAGGCACTTGCCTCAGCCCCACAGATCCAGACCACAGTCCAGACAAGCCCTTTCAGCGGCCTGCACCCTGAGCACTGGGCTGGGAAGTGGGCCTGAAAGGCTCCCTGAGAGATGTGGGGGCATGGTGGCCACTCTTCTCTTGGAGCTTGCTCTTCACTCTACCTGCTCTATCATGTCCAAAATGCGCATCCGGGTTAGAGTGACCATTGGGATGCCCTGAGCTAAGGCTCACCATGGACTGAAAGGTGGATAGATTTATGGGCTGCAGTCTCATCTCTGCCTCTTGACAACTTGTAGGAAGCGGTTGTGTGGTTGCAAAAATAGAACAGGCAAGCAAGCAATTGGTTAGTCAACCAACACTCTCCTTGTCAATTTCACTGGGCTTTAAAATTGTTCTGAGGGGTCTGGAGAGATGGTGTCTTACTGTTGCTCTATTGCTGTGAAGAGATACCATGAGTAAGGTAACTTATAGAAGGAAGCATCTAATTGGGGCTTACTACAGGTTCAGAGGGTCAGTCCATGATCACCTTGGGGAAGCCCGATGCTGGAGCATGGTGGGAGCAGTAGCTGAGAACTTAACATCTGATTCACAAGCAAGTGGCAGAGAGATAGAGAGAGAGAGAGAGAGAGAGAGAGAGAGAGAGCAAGTCTTGGCCTGGCATGGACTTTTGAAACCTCAGAGTCCACTCCCCGTGGCACACATTCTCCAACAAGGCCACAGCTCCCTATCCCCCTGTGACTGAGAATGGCCTACACAGGCTCTTATATCTGAATGCTTAGTCCTCAGGGAGTGAACTGTTTGGGAAGGGTTAGAAGGTGTGGCCTCTAGGTGTGTTACTGAGGGTGGGCTTTGAGTTTTCAAAGGCCCACACCAGACCCAGTCTCTCCCTCTCCCTCTCCCTTTTCCTCCCCCCCCACCTTCCCCAGCCTGCTGCCTGCTGATCAGGATGTAAAGCTCTCAGCTACTGCTCCAGTGCTCTGCCTATCTGTTTCCTGCCATGATGATCATGGACTAACCCTCTGAACTGTAGGCAACCTCCCCCAAAGTAAATGCTTCCTTTTATTACAATTGTCTTGGTTGTGATATCTCTTCATAGCAAAAGAACAGTAACTACGGCAACTTCCTTAGCAGTCCACCATCTGGAAAGAAACATTCAAATATATGAACCTGTGGAGGTCATTCTCATCCAAACCACCGCAGAAGGCTCAGCAGTTAAAAGCACTGGGTGTTCTTATAGAGGACCCGAGTTTAGGACTCAGTATCCAAATTAGGCTGTTTGACTGCCTGCAACTCTAACTCCAGGGGATCTGACCTCCTCGGGTACCCATCCCAATGCATGCTCGTGTGCTCGTGAGCGCACGTGCGCGCGCGCACACACACACACACACACACACACACACACACCATTGTGCATATGTGAAGGTCAGAGGACAGCTTAGTCCAACCCAGGAATCAGACTTGGGTTGTTAGGTTTGGCAGTAAAGCATCTTTACCCGCTGAGTCATCTTGCCTCCTCACTGAATTTCTGTGAAGTTAAAAAGACATTTATGGACACCCCTAGCAAGGTGTCTAGAATATTATAGGTCATCAGGAAGCACTGGCCCCCTCACTGCCAAACCCAGCAATGCCATGCTCCCCTGGAGGCCAGGGACCTACTCTGGTCCAGCGCTGAACCATACTCATCTGAAGATCTCATTTTAATGTATGACACCATCCCAGTGCACATAAAACCTCTGTGGCCATAAGACGTCAAAACCTTGCCTGCATTGTCCAGACAGGGGAAAGTCCCGCTTTGCTAGAGATCTGTGTCCTGGGAAACGCTTTGGCCTCAGCGCACAGGAGCAGGGGATCACCCTGCCACCCCTTCTACTAGGCTCAGTTTAATGCAGTGGGATCTCAGCAACTTCCAGCTATTAACAAACTGTGCCTGGAAGGAAAGAAAAGAAATAGGAGGAGGGAGGGAGGGAGGACAGACACTTTACTCAGTTGCTAAGGTCCTCAGTTAAGGCAACTAAAAACACAAATGTTGGGGAAAGCAGAGAAAGAAAATGTATCCAAGGTGGCCACAGTGGGAATAGGAACAAAAAGGTCCAGGGGCCTCCACAAACCATCTTCAATATTGGTTTTTGTTCCCTCCACTTTTCATGCATCTGCATGTTTTTTGCATGTGCGTGAGCACATGCATATGTGTGTGCGTGTTAGTGTAGTTGGAGGCCCAAGGGTGACGTCAATAACTGTCCTTGCTGAGCATGGTGAGGTATACCTTTAAGGCCCACGCTAGAGAGGCAGAGGCAGGAGGCTCAAGGTTCTCTGAGTTCAAGGCAATCTTGGTTTATGTAGAGAGTTTCCAAGTCAGCTAGAGCTACAAAGTCTCCAGAAAGAAAGAAACAAAGAAAGGAAGGAAGGAAGGAAGGAAGGAAGGAAGGAAGGAAGGAAAGAAGGAAGGAAGGAAGAAAGGAGGGAAGGAGGGAGGAAGATAGAGAGGGAGAGAGTCATCCTTGAGGGTTCTTTCACTGTATTTATTGAGTCAAGGTCTCTACTCTAGCTAGCTTGCTCTGGGCAGCCCCTGTCTGTGTCTTCCAGGGATGAAGTTACAGGTAGGGTGTCACACCGATAGCACATTAAGATGGGTTCTTGGGAATCCAAACCCTAGTTGTGCTTACACAGAAAGGCTTTATCTGTTGAGTCACCACCCAGCACCCATCTTTGGGATCTTAACATAAAGTTGGGCTTGAATAGAGGACAAGAGGCATGAATGAGTCTGTCTCTGCCAAGGTGCCATTCTGCCCACCATCACCATCTGGGCTTCAGTCTCTTTCACAGTGTAAGGGATCTCCCTGGGAGACAAATTCCCCCTCTGAGAGATGGCACTGGGGCTTTTGTCATTCCCTTCCTCCACTGTGAGATTCCAGGAGCAATTCCAATTCCTTCAGGGTCTATTGTTTCAAGAGTCCGATAGTTGAAAGAAGGGGCACGAGTGTCTCTTTAGATTACCTTCATTCTTACCAGAACAGTTACAGCAGGGAAGGGAAGGAAGAAGGGAGAGAGGGAGAGAAGGAAGAAGGTCTTGTTGCCATTCTCTGGAGTTCATCTTCCACAGGGCAATGTGTGCATTCCTTCAGGCTCTGCTTCTGACAGACTGTTTATCACGTGTTCTGTCTGGTTCCCCAGAGCCCAACTCCCCAGGGCAATTTTGATACCAGATGCTTCCTCCGAGTCTGAATCTCAAGGACCTCAAAGAGTCTTGCAATTCAAGAAACAAGTGATTGCTAAGGTTTTGAACCACCTTCTAACGGTGGTGGTGCCAGGGGCTGGAGGGTGGAATCTGTAAGTGTCACAGCGAGTAGGTCCTGCCTCTAAGTTGCCTTTGCTTTCTGCCTGCCTCCTAGTATGGCCACCTTACCTTGGTGAACCCCAATAAACCTGTCCTTCCTTAAGGTGATTCTGTCATAGCAATAAGAAAAGTAATATATAGTTTCATTGACTCATCTTTTTTGTTTGTTTGTTTGTCTGTCTTGCTTTGTTTTGCTTTTTGAAGACAGGGTTTCTCTGTGTAGCCTTGGCTGTCCTGGACTTGTCCTGGACTGTGTAGACCAGGCTGGCCTCAAACTCACAGCCATCTGCCTGCCTCTGCTTCCCCAAGTGCTGGGGTTAAAAGCAAGCACCATGACATCCAGAGAGATAAAGACAAAGAAAGAAACAGACAGATACCATTATTATGGAGTATAAATGTTTTTAGGAAGGAGTATAAAGGACACAGGTCTTTCTGTTTTCGCAGGTGTTTTCCCAGGCTCTCAATTTTGAGGAATGTTCATAGCTAGTCACATTCAGCACAAGGGCTCTTTGCACATACTGTCAGAACCAAGTAGAAAGGTGAAAATATTTACAGAGAACACAGCATTCATGGATCCAAAGTATGATTGAAGAAAAAAAAATAATGCTTGAAGAATAAAAAATAAGAGAACTTGTGAATTAAAAAATATCCAGGAATATGGGGTTGGAGAGATGGCACATGGTTAGGAGCATTTGCTGCTCTTGCAGAGAACCCAGGTTCAGAATCTACATGACAGTTTACAAGGGAACCAGGCACCCACTCTTGGTCTCATAAAGGCAAAACACTCACACCCATAAAATAAAAATAAATAAATCTCCTTTAAAAAGAGAAAAGACAGGGACTGTTTCTGACATGAACTCAGTGGTAGGCTCTTTGACCTGCCCTTCCCCCCCCCCCCCCCCGAGGGAAAAGCAGCCTTGCCAGGCCACCGAGGAGGACATTGCAGCCTGATTGATGAGACTTGATAAGCTAGGGTCAGATGGAAAGGGAGAAGGACCTCCCCTATCAGTGGATTTAGAGAGGGGCAGGGAGATGAGGGAGGGAGGGTGGGATTGGGAGGGAATGAGAGAGGGAGCTACAGCTGGGATACAAAGTAAATAAACTGTAATTAATATAAAAATAAAAATTAAAAAAAGACAAAAAAAGAGAGAGAAAAAAAAAGTTGGTGATGCCGCTCCATTAAGAAAGAAAAGTTAGGAGAACAGGAAGAATACCTAAGGAAGCAAGGATTCAGGCCAAGTGATGCTGGGGTTGCGGGACAGCAAGAGAGGAGAGAATAGGACGCGCCCACCCTGAAGAAAACCATGTTCCCTCGAATTGAGGAGGGTGGGTTTGAAAGAAAGGGTCTACTGAATCCAGGTAAGACATAGGCAAAGGCAGGTCCAGTGGGTTTCCAGGGAAGAGGTTGTAGTGAGGGAGTGAGGGTCTCCTGGGAGCTGAGAAGAGCCAGGATGAGGGAGTCTCCCATGAAGACTTGAGAATCAGATGGCCTTGGGCCACATAGAAGGATGTGTTTCCTCCTTCGTGGCTGTTTCTTCAGACCTGTGTTTGGGAGACTGAAGACTATCCTTCCGCCCTCCCATAGGTGGGTCCTCTCCCCATTCCCTTCCAACCTCTCTCCCACATGTCTTCTCGTCTCTCAGGATCTTCTGAGCTCTGAGCCAAGCAAGCCTTGGAGACGCTCCCTGCCCCCAGTCCTGGAGATTCCCACCCAGTGTAACCATGTCGGCCCCCCTGGCTGCTGGAAAGCCCATGTGACTACGTGACACAGATGTTTCCTGCTCCCCTTGGGGGCCTGCAGGATCAGTGAGGAGGTTGCCCTCAGAACTGACATCAGCCCAGCCATGGGCTGCTACCTGCTGCTGCTGCTCCTGGGACTGGCAGGTAAGCTGCAGATGGAACCACACCTCCCTCACCAGCCAGAAGTACCACAGACGCCACAGCTTCCCCTCTGGAGTCACACATTGCTGTCAGACAGTGGGCTAGGGGCCGTGCCTGCTGCTATCCAACCCTCGCTCCCACTTCTCTTCCTTCCCCAGGCCAAGGCTCAGCTGACAGCCATCCCGAGGTGCTACAAGCTCCGGTGGGGTCAGCCATTCTGGTGCAGTGCCACTACCGGCTCCAGGACCTGAGGGCTCGCAAAGTGTGGTGCCGGTTCTCGCAGGAAGCCTGCCAGCCGCTGGTGACATCAGCCGTGGACCGAAGAGCTCCCGGGAATGGACGCATATTCCTCACTGACCTGGGTGGGGGGCTCCTGCAGGTGGAGATGGTGACCCTGCAGGAGGAAGACACGGGGGAGTACGGCTGCGTGGTGGAGGGAGCCGCAGGGCCGCAGACCCTGCACAGGGTCTCCCTGCTGGTGCTGCCACCGGGTGAGTTGCCTCAAGCTGCGGTCAGAAGGGTGACCTGTGAGGGGGACTCGCGGGGCCCTGCGGCCTGGGGCCAGCTAGGAAGGCGTTGGGGTGAGCTATCTTTTGAGGGTTCTGCGGGGCTGAGTGGCAGCGGAAGTGTTTGGGAAGCAGATAACCCGCTGGGCAGCAGCCCCTTCTCTCTCCCTCACAGCAGCTTTCGGGGTCCTTGTGTCTTCCTCTAACTCTCCCAAGCTGATTATCTTTACTTTATTTGAAGTTCGAGCGTGTTAACAGAAATTCTTTTTTGTGCCTTCCAGCGTGTGTGTGTGTGTGTGTGTGTGTGTATAGGTCTATGTGCCCATGTACATACACCTGTACAGCCCCAGAGAATGAGTCCTGCTCTATGACTCTCCACCTAATTACCTTGAGACAGTGTCCACCGGAAGTCCACCATTTTGGATAGACTGGTTAGCCATATAAGGATGTGCCTTTCTTTAGCCTCCAGCACTGGGGTTTCACAGTCAGCATTTTTAATGGGTATTGGGGATTTGAACTCAAGACTTCATGCTTGCCCATTGAGCCATGTCCCCAGCCCTGCCTTCCTTGGATGACTTAAAGTTTATCTTAACAGAGTTTAGTAAGGGCCTGACCTACAGGTGGGACTGGACTTCAACTCATTCAGGATTTGTTTTTCTTCTTCTTCAGAAGTTTCACTGTGTAGCCCAGATTGGTATGGGACCCATTTATGTAGTCCAGGCTGGCCTCAAACTCAGGATCCTCCTGCCTCAGCTTCCTGAATGTGAATATTATAGGTGTGAAATGCTGTGCCAGATTGCATCCAGTTTTTAAAACTGGGGGAACTTTTTTAAAAAATTAAAAATGTTTAAATCTAATATTTACCTATTAATATTAAATACATTAATGTTTAAGTTCATGGAGCAATCTTAATATAGAAAGCATATTGCTTTTCAGATCACATCTTTCTAGGTATTTATTAGAATAAAAATGTAATTTAAAAGTAGGATGCTAGAGGTCTGGAGATATGGCTCAGTGGTCAAAAGCATGGCTGCTCTTCCAGAGGACCTAGATTTGACACCCAGCACCCACAGGGCAGCTCACAATCTTCGGAAACTCCAGTTCTAGGGGATCTGATGTCCTCGTCTGGCCTCCTTGGGTACCAGGTACACACACAGTATACACATATATGCAGACAAAACATGCGGACACATAACATAAAATAATAAAAAATGAATTTAAAAAACTGTGTTAGCCAAGCAGTGGTGGTGCATGCCTTTAATCCCAGCACTTGGGAGGCAGAGGCAGGCTGATCTCTGTGAGTTCGAAGTCAGCCTGGCCTACAGAGGGAGTTTCCAGGATAGGCTACACAGAGAGAGACCCTGTCTTAGAAAAAAACCCAAACCAAACCAACCAACCAAACAAATGAAATCGAGTGCTACAAAAACCTGCTCTGGAGGGGGAAGGCTGGAGGCGACTGATGTTTTTCTAGATAGTGGCGCCTTTCATCTTTTGTGACCTATGGCTTGTGTCTTAATCCTGATGATAAAGTCATTCTTCTTTCTTCAGTTTTGCTAGGCAAGTAAGAATAGCGGATCACATTGGTACTGGATTCACCCTCACTTTCACTCCACAACTAGTACTGTAAAATTTGCATTTCTCTCTGTCTCTCTGTTTCTGTCTCTGTCTCTTTCTCTCTCGCATGTGTGTGCACATGCCACAGTGCACGTGTGAGGTAAGAGGACAGCTGGTGAGAGCTGATCCTCTCCTTTACCATGTGGACTCTGGGGCTCAAACTCAGATCATCAGGCTTGGCAGTGAGGCCCTGTACTTGCTGCGTCATCTTGCTGGCCCATGGCTATCGTTTTACACAGTCTAGTAATTCTGGGTTTTGTCTTGTTTCACTTTTTCTTCCTCTTTTTGGGGCATCTAGGGTCTCCATACATGCTCTTGTGGGTGTATACATGTGTGCCTGTGGAGGACAAAGGTCAATGTTGGGTGTCTCACTCTCCACTTTATTTTTGAAGACACTGAACCTGGGACTCTGTGAGGCTGGCTGATTGATGAGTTTCAGGGATCATCCTGTCTCCATCTATATCCTGTCCCTGGGCTGGGATTACAGACATGCACTTTATACCTGGCTTGTACACAGGTGCTAGGGATCCAAATTCAGGTCTCCGTGCTTCGACGGCAGGCTCTTCACCCACTGAGCCATCTCCCCTGTCCCTTTTTACTTTCAAAGACGTGGTCTGTGTAATCCCAACTAACCCAAAGCTCGAAACATCGACCTCAATGGCCTCAAATTGGAAAGACCCTCTCTCATTGCCTCCCAAATGTTAGGATCACAGGCATGCTCCATTGTGCCTGGTGTAACTCCAGCTTCCAACCCCCTAAAAGACAGATTGCAATAATACCAGTCTGGCTGGGAAGAGGGGAGGAGGGAAGAGAGGGAGGGGGCAAGTACCTGGAGATCCCCTCATTGCCGTGGGGCAGGCGCTGCATGAAAGGGGTGCCCAGGCAGGTCGGCAGAGCATGGTGTCCAGGGAGAGAATGGCCTGTCCCTTAGGCAAGCATTTACTTTCAGAGAGTAGCTCAGCTAGTTTTCTATTGGTGTGATGAGACAGCAGTTTACGGAAAAAAAAATTTTTTTTTTTTTCGGGCACTTACAGCTCCAGACAGTTAGAGTCCATGACAGTGTAGAGATGACAGAGGTCTTATCACATTGGAGTTCAGGTACTAGCTGGGTTTTCAGAAAGGTCACTGAGTCTTGCCTCCCATTAGTGCTGAGCCAGAATCCCCTTAAATCTGAGGGCAAAGCTCAGGATGAGATCCTATCAGCCTGAAGATGGGCTCACAGGGCTACAGGTACATGGGAGGAGGCCCTCAGTGGAGACCCATGATAGTCAACCAGCAAGGTTGGTGTTGAGGGTGACAGTAATAGAACCTATCCTGGGGGGGAGGGCTGGAGAGATGGCTCAGTGGTTAAGAGGGCCCTTTGTTCTTCCAAAGGATCCGGGTTCAATCCCCAGCACCCACATGGCAGCTCACAACTGTCTGTAATGCCAATTCCAAGGGATCTGACACACTAATGCACATAAAACAAAATAATTTTAACAAACAAAACATAAAAACAACCCCCCTACCATGTAACTTTAGGGGAAAAAAAATCTATTCTGGCATGATAAGAAGAATCAAACAGTTCATACAGTGATGGTCGGACATACTGTGAGTGACCTGGAGGAATTCTCATGTGGGTCATGGAGCTGGCAGAGACGAAGAAAAGCAGGGGCTGTGGGTGGGAGCTGGTGGCAGAGGGGAAATGACTGTGCTCACAACCAGACAGAGATGTAAAGAGTGGAAGCCATTTCCTAACTCAGAGAGTGAAGGAAGGGATGTTCCCAGTCAGTCTGCATTCCTCGGGGCCTCTCTTCCCTTAGCTGCCTTTTCCTAGTTCTTCAGATCTTAACAGGCAGTGGAAGCTGCTCCACAATGGTGTGCACTACTAAATGTTTCCTTCTGCCTCAGTTCCTAGCCCAGGAGAAGGACAGGACGCAGAGGAAGAGGAAGAGAAAGAGACCTACAGAAACGGAAGTCTGCCCGAGGACCCTTCCTTGGACCCTTCTGGGGGTTCAAGTCCTCCCTTGTTCAGACGGCATGAGAACAGGTGTGAAGATAGTGGTGTGGAAGGAACTGGGCACTAAACATACACTGGTTTTGAGCTGTGTTGTGAATCCAGTGGAGGGCTGGGGAGGTGGCTCAGCGGTTATGAGCACTTGCTCCTGCAGAGGACAGAGTTCAGCCCCAATGGTTGAAGCAGCCTGTGACTCCAGCTCCAGGGGATCTGACGCTCTCTCCAGGAGTGTGAAGTCAGCAACATGCATGTACATGTATGTTCTCACATACCTAAACAAACAAAATTTAAAAAATCATCTCAAATCAAATGGGGTACCCTGCTAACTCATTCCACTGCTGGGGAACGTCTCTTCAGCAGACTCCATGCATTTCGGCAACTGTCCCTTCACTGTGGCAGATTCCATCAAAGACACTGTGAAAATGTGTCTCCCTTCTCCCCTGTCTGGATCTGCCTTCCTCCCTCCATTCCATCTGCTCTCAATTTTGCTTCCTAAAGAAAGTGGCAGTTTTCTCCACTACTCCAGGGCTCTTAATCTGCAGCTTCCCTGAGGGCTCAGGGCTCAACCAGCCTATCTCTTTCTGTCTCCCAGTATTCCCCTGATCTGGGGTGCTGTGCTACTGCTAGGCCTGTTGGTGGTGGCTGTGGTGCTGTTTGCTGTGATGGCCAGAAAGAAAGGTAAGTTCATCTACTCCAGCAGCTCAGTTTTGGAGATGAGGCTAGGAGTCTAGGCGTGTTTCCCACAGGAAAGACCCTGCTAGTCTTTAGATGAATGAGTTCTCCATAGAGTGGAATTCCAGTGGCTGATAGGGAAAGCAGAAGAGGGGACCCAGTTAGGGCAGGCCCTGGGGAGAGACAGTGAAGAGTGGCGATTGGAGGAGAAAGGATGGAAGGAAGGAGCGAGTTCCGGGTGGTAGATTTAGGTGTCAAGGCAGCTGGAGAAGCAGAAAACCGTCAGGGAGGCAAGGCAGGCTTGTGGGGTGCAGAGGTGAAGGGGTATAGGCTTAGAGATGGGAGTGGGGAAAACAGTTCTGTGCTAGTGAAGGTTTTAGAGGCTTTGGAAGGCTTGGAGCTACTCTGCAAGCAACTAGACTAGCTGTTCTCTGTTGCCAGGGAGCAAGCTTGGTGTCTGTGGCCAGTCCCAGAGCAGTGGAGTTTCAAGCATGGTAAGAGACCTCTGCAGGCTCTCCTCACCCATCACACTGCTGAGTAGGTGGCGACAAGACAGACCCATCACAGTCCAGACCCTCTCTCCTATTTGTATTTAGGGAGTACCATGGGGGTTAGGATATCTTCAAAGTACCCCACGCCACTTTATATATATATATAATGAGGCAGAGTCTCTTTATACTTGGCTGGCCTACAACTTACTATGTAGACCAGGCTGGCCTAAAATTCATGGAGAGCCATCTGCCTTTGCCTCCCTGAGTGCTGCTGTTAAAGGCGTGCACCACCAATCAGTCCTAGAACTCACTAGGTACCATCGGCCAGTCTGGAACTCGCTACGTAGACCAGGCTGAACTTGAACCTTTGAGTGAGGGATTAAATGTGTGTGCATTCGTGCATGTGTGCACGCCACCATACCTGGCCAAAGCAATGCCCTCTTGTCCCTTTGACATACTGGGATTGTTACAGCAGATCCATATGGTCTCCGGAAACTCAGGCACGCTTTTGTGTGACTGACCTGCTTTCCTTCCAGGACCCCTCCTCAGCAGCCCACCACAGCAGTGACCCTGGACTGGCTGCCAGGCTGCCCACGGACTTACCGTATGTGAGGCTCGACTCGCCACCTCCCTTTGACGTCACCTACACGGGCTTTTCTCTTGATCCTCCACTGGGGAAGCCCTCAGCCCCACCTCTACAACCCTCTCTGCCACCTAAGGTTCTGGTGTCCTCCAAGCCTGTGACATATGCCACAGTTGTCTTCCGGGGAGGGGACAAGGGTGAAGGAACTTCCTGTGAGCCGGTTCAGGATCCCACAAAGAGCCAAACCCCACCCAACTAAATAATATACCTTAATACAGACTCTTGGGATCACCCCTGGGGAATTCTCTGTAGCCCTCCAAGTAGGTCTGCCTTTTGATCTTGTGTCTTGGCATGGTGAACGTAGGAAGTGGTGCTCAGGTCTGATTGAGGTGTTTGGGGAAGAACTCTTTTGCTGCTTCCTGGTGCTGGTTCTACTGATATTAGGCCAAATAAACTCTGAGGATGTATAAGTGCTTTGTGTGTGCATGTGTGTGTGTGCATGTCAATGTCACTCTCCTTACTTTTTGAAACAAGGTCTTTCACTGCTGGGGCTAGTTAAGCTGGGCTTGTTGACCAGAAAGCCCCAAGGGTCTTCCTTTCTCCACCTTCCCAGAGCTTGGACTACCAGCATCTGCTATGCCATCCGGCTTTTTAATCTGGATGTTGGGGAACTGAACTCAGATCCTCAAGTTTACACAGCAAGGACTTTATTGACAGACCCCTGTGTGGACTCCTAACAGCTGAGTGGGCAAGACAAACCTAATGGGTGTGTGGGCAAGACAAAGCCTGTTTCACTAGTCACGTGGTTTACGGATGGGTCTGGTCTGGAGCCTGCACTGCCATTGAGGAAGGGGCGTCTCTCCTGGTCAAGAGCACTGCACAACAGAGAGATAGGGAGGACTTGCTCAAAAGTACTTCCTGCCCCTGTCAGGATGCTGGAGAGCACAGGCTTGAGTCTAGGAAGTTCTTCTGCTCTGTACCTTGTGAGCAAGTTACCTGTGATTAGCAGCAGCATTTAATGGGCCTCGGGTGGGTGTGAGGGGCTCACGGGGAGTGGGCAGTGACTGATAAGTTAAAGGAGATTTGGGACAGATGCATTATAGGAGATAAGACCACAAAGAGACAGGAAGAAGGACAGGAATGGAAACAGACACCACATTCCCTCTCAGAAGAGACTTAGCATTTTCTAACACTGTGGGTGAAAGAGCCTCTCAGACATTAATCTCACCAAAGCTGGTTTTCTTAGCGATGTAGCCATGAGCAGCTCTGTTCCCTTTGGCCTTTGAAGAGCCCAGGGAGGAAAAGGGAGAGGGAAGGGGTGTGGCTACAGTCAAGTGGAACTGTAAGGCAGATTCCAGGCTAGAGGCAGAAGGATGTCTAATATCCCTGAGGAATTTCTTTTGAAACTGGCTGGAAAAAGATTTGCTCAAACTGGGACAAGAGATTCAAGGGAGGAGGGATGAAGGCTTGGGTGCCCAGTACTGTGACAGTGATAGGGTGCAGATAGAAAGGGCACCTCAGAAGAGAGGTCATGCCAGTGTCATTAGGCTTTGAAAGCCTAGTGATGTCACTTTATTCTGGCAGGGCATCCTGAGCACCTCCTACCAAATGTCTCAAGCTGTGATCTTCGGGGAGATGGCTGGGTGCTTACGCCTTAGCCATGCAAGCGTGGGGACTAGCATCTAGATTCCCAGAACCCACGTAAATGGTGAGTGGAATGATGTTCCCTTATGATCCCAGATTTAGAAGTAGAGAGAGCAAGCTGGCTATCAAGACTAGCCATGCTGTTAAGCTAGGTTTGGTTGAGATGCCCATCTTCAATGAATAAGGTGGAAGAAAGATGGAAGGTGATTTCTGGCATCAACCTCAGGTCTCTACATGCATGCACACACTGGCACGTGTGTGTGTGTGTGTGTGTGTGTGTGTGTGTGTGTGTGAATGAGCACCCCTACTATACACATATGAAAAGGGGAGAAGAAAGAATGCTGGCTGCTTCCTTTGTGACTCTAGGGCTGACCGGAAGCTGCCAAGCATCCTGAGAACCTTGTATATGCCACTAGTCTGAGCAAACACCAAAACTCACATTGGAAAACTCACAAGAGAAACCACCACAGTCAGGAATTGTCTGTCCAAAACCAATCCAGCCTTGCTCATGGTAGGCAGTTCACAAACACAGCGAACGAGTTGCAGAGTTCAAATTAGAACCCAGTTGTCTGGCTCCAGGTCCCATGCTCTTGACTGCTAGTTAGTACTTAAAAATATAAATGGATGAACAAGGAGGCTGGGCAACAGTAGGTGAAATGAAGACAGGAAATCAGGGATGAGGTGGAGACAGGGCATACTCAATAGAGAGCGGTGTGGGTGGCAGGACACAGGAAAGTTGTTGGAAGACCAATATGAGGGGCTATGCAGATTAGATGTCATGATTGTGGACAAACATCTTTCTCCCTTCCTTGAGGGTCTCATTCTGATCATTTAGAGAGAGTGGTGAATGCTGGGTCCAGGATAGCTTACCATAGGCTAGATCCTATGAACTCCTGTGGAGCTTAGTGTTCAAGAAAATAAACTCTAAAACAAATCTGAGTAGACTCCCAGCTCTTCCATACTGTGACTGTGCTTCCCAGCTAAACCCTCTCTAAGCTTCCATATCTCTGGCCTCACTGAGTAGTTTCTACTGGACACAGAGCGTGTGTGTACCCCTATGACCCTGGAAATTCACAAGAGGAATCACCACAGTCAGGAATTATTTGTGTTCCAACTGTGAGTTCTCAGAGAACCTAGATGGAAAGGGTTACAAATCTTAGCTCTGTCTGTTCATTTCTACCCACAATTTTTCTAGTTGCACCACCAACTCTGCAACCCTTTCAGAAAAGAGAGAGCAGAGTGAACACTTTTGTTTTCCCATTTCAGCCATTTTTGTTTGTTTGTTTACTTCTTTGTTTCTTGGGTTCCTCCATTTCCACTTGCAATTTTTCCAACTGTTCAGCCATTCTCCTAATCCTTTTTGAAGCAGAACATGGGATGAAGAAAACAAAAAATCCCCTCTTAGAGCAAAGCAGGAAAGCAGCCTCAACAATTTTCTTTTGCTGCCATCTTGAAAAAAGAATATCCATCCCTCCATACCCTGCCATTTTCTCGATAGCATTTGAAGTAAAAATTTCCATTCTGCCTAGATCCTCGTCTGGGTGCCACTGTAGCTGTTCTGTTGCCATCCTGTGGGTGCTTTTTTCTTCCACCTTTCTCCACCCCTTTCTTTCCACCCTTTCAACCCCCTAACAAAAGCTAGGAAAGAAAAGAGGATAAAGGGGATAGGAACAATGCTATAGTTAGACTGCTTTCCGCTAACTAGGAATGTCAAGTTCCTTGGGGCAAGTTTGATCTTCAGCATCAGGTTATTAATTTCTTCTTGTTCCTTCTAAAAAAAACTGTGGCCAACAGCAATCAACTAACAACCAACAACCCTCCCTGCCTCTCAGGGCTCTTTATACACCCCCTGAAGAGTCCCCAGAATCCCAAACATCACACAACTGCAGAAACTCTCTGCAGCTGGTAAAACCATGCCGCTGCTAAAGCATGAAGCAAATCATAGTCAGCTGCTTTGGACAATCTGAAGCAGCCCCATATCCCATACATGGGATTAAAATGAAAGCATATAATATTTCCATGTTTTTCAAAGAAGCCAAAATTCTTATTACACAGGACTTAGATATATTACACTTCTTGGTGCCTCTTTTTATCTCAAACTGTTCATTTTGTATTTTTCTCTTGCTCAGTTAGATCCTTTTTATTATAAATTTACATAAGACATGTTATTAATAACAATAAAACACAGTCAACACTGCACTGTATTGAAATCTCCCTTGCCAAAGCTGTCGCCTTGGCTGTCCTGGACTCACCTTGTAAGCAAGGCTGGCCTGGAACTCACAGCAATCCACCTGCCTCTGCCTCTCTGAGTGCTGGGATTAAAGGCATGCGCCACCATGCCTGGCATCAGGCAGGGTTTTTTTGGACAAAGACAAAAAGCAGCCATATTCTTCAACAAAATATCACAACATACTACTAATTTTCTTCTAATTTTCTCTAGGCAACATACTACTAATTTTCTTCTCTGATACGTCTTGATCTGGATTCCCGCAGTTCAAACCATCCTCAGCATCATGTTCCATGCTCCTACCAGGATGAACCCTGAAGTCCCACTTAAAGTGACCAATCTCTTTTTTAGTCTAAAGTCCCAAAGTGTTCCATATTCCCCCCCAGATAAAAACATGGTCAGGCCCCTCACGGCAATACCCCACACTATCAACTTCTGTCTTAGTTAGTGTTCTATTGCTGTGTAGAGACACCATGTCCACAGCAACTCTTGTAAAGGAAAACATTTAACTGGGTCTGGCTTACATTTCGGAGGTCTAATCCATTATCATCATGGCAGGAAGCATGGCAGCAAGGAGGCAGACATGGTGCTGGAGAAGGAGTTGAGAGTTCTACATCTGGATTCACAGGCATCAGGAATAGAGAGAGTCACAGGGCCTGGCTTGAGCTCCTGAAACCTCAAAGCCCTAGTAGTGATACTCTCTATGAGCCAATGGGAGGCCATTTTCATTCAAACCACCACACCAACCACAGCTCTTTAACAAAATTATCACATATGGGTCCTAGTTAAGGGCTGTGATGACACACCATGACCAAAAGCAATTTGGGGAGAAGAGTGTTTATTTGGCTTATAATTCTACAGCACTATTCATCATCAAAAGAAGTCAGGACGGGAAGTCAAGCAGGGCAGGAACCTGGGAGCAAAGATGATGCAGAGGTCATGGAAGAGTGCTGCTTACTGGCTTGTTCCTCATTGCTTACTCAGACTGCTTTCTTGTAGAACGCAGGACTACCAGCCCAGGGACAGCACCACCCACAATTGGCTAGGCTTTCCCCCATCAATCACTAATTAGGAAAATGCTCTACAGGTTTGCCTACAGCCAGCTCTTATGGAGGCATTCTCTTAATGGAAGTTCCCTCATCTCAGATGACTATCGCCTGTGTCTAGTTGACATACAACTAGCTAGAACACCGATGTAAGGCTCTAAGTTCTTCCATATAGTCAGAACGCAGATTCTAGAGGAAGACAAAGGCTACTGATACAGCCTCAAAGAGACTTAATGGGAAACCAGTGATGTTCAGCCCTGCCTTGGGCTACACCAGCTCGTTAACAAGCCACCAGTCTATGAGCTGAGGACTTTTTAAGGGAGGGACACAAAGAATCTTTCC